GGGAAAAACCTGGTTCATGGCTTCAAATGTGTTCAGTGGATACAGTGCTTTCTGTATAAGTCCTGTGGCCTAAGTTCAATCTTTGGAATTCCTGTAAAGGTGAAAAGAGAGAACCTACTCCCCAAAGTTGTCCTCTGACCTCCACACTCACATTGTCACACTTGTACACCCATAGTCACACTCAGACCCAAATCTATACCCACCATCGTATACATAACTATTAAATAAAAACAAAAACTTGTTTTTCAGAACTGTGTAGATACAGATGAAGTTTACTCCTCTGTAGACACCTCCTGCAAGTCACATTCATTGCTATTGGGTTTCTGTAAAGCATTAAAGAACTTGTATTCTGTCGGTCTGGAAGAGGTAGTCTTCCATTGTATGGTAGGCACAAATTGGATATGTGATTAGAAACAGCATATTGGGTGTGGGAAAACTGTAGCCAGCATCTTCTAATGGGCTACACTGAGAATAGTTTATCTGAACTATTAAAAAGTAGCTGTATTTCTCTGATATGCACATAGTTGGCTAAAGTGGACATTGCAACCTTCTGAGCAATGACTAGGAGCAAAAAGAACAAGAAGATGACAATGCTAACTACCCTATAAACACTAACAATGTGGAAGACATGAGAGACATGAGCAGGGTGAAGGAGTGGCCTTTGGAGATGATGGCTCAGTCAGGAAGGCATTGGCATTGCTAGGATAATGAACTGAGTTAGATTCCCAGAATCCACATAAAATAAAAGCTGGGTATAGTGACACATACTTATAATCCCACCACCTGGAAGTTAGAGACAGGAGGGCCTCTTATACTTGATGGCAGCCTGCCTAACCTAGTGAGTGAGCCCTGGGTCCTGGTGAGAAACCCTATCTCAATCAATCAATCAATAAATAAACAAACAAACATATCCATCAATTGATCAATAACAGGCTGTGAGTCCCAAGTGATAACACCAGAGGCTTACCTCTGGCCTCCACAGTTATACATATTCATGTACAAGCACATACATTTAAACATGCAGAAACATTTGAACATATAAATACAGATACAATAAAGGTTGATGAAGAGGGAATGTCCTCTGAGGCCCTGATTTTCTGTACATTAAACACTAAGAGTGAAAGTAGCGAAGGATGTGTCTGTTTAAATGTCACAGAATTCTTACACACACAGAGGGGGAGTCTAAGAACATAAAGTGTAAGAAATAGTTAAAAGAAGGCAGTTCATGTAATCACAGAAAGTGTCTTGTCCCTTGTTGGATTCTGCATGAAAGATATCAAGGAAGTAAATGATCAGTGTTCTAGGTAGAGCACATCTAGACCTGGAGTATATAAAAAGGACTTACACTTAGTTTTCCAAACAGAATTTGGGTATGGGCCAAACCATTATTTAGTCATGCCAGTCTCAGAGTTTACTGGGATAAAAGCCAAAATCTCTATGAATAACATGAAATAATACTTATGAACAAGGGCTAAAATCAACTTTATAATCTATGAAATATGACTAATGTTAATTTTTGAGGTCAGACTGGATAACACACAGTAAAACACTATCTCAGATATATATATATGTATATATATAATATATAATATATATATAAATATAATGTGTGTGTGTGTGTCTGTGTGTGTGTGTGTGAGTGTGTGTGTGTGCTTATATACCAGGCTCTGAAAGCTCTTGTGTCCTTCCCATGCCTGACATGAAGAAATCCCTGTTAGAAGAGAATGGGAAGCAGTGTAGACACAGGAGCCAAGGCAGGAGAATCAAACCAGAGGGAGTGAAGCGGGATTTTCCAGACCATCTTCCTCACAGTGAAGATTCCAGTTCTTAGAAAGTGGATATGTGTGTTCTGGCATGAAGAGAAAGTCCCCTTCCTGCTATGAATGTCGCTCTATATAAATGAAACATTGATTGGCGAGTGGTCAAGGAGGAAGTATAGGTGGGACAAGAAGAGAGGAGAATTCTGGGAAGTGGAAGGCTGAGTGAGAGAGACCTGCTAGTCACTGCCATGACAAGCAAGATGTAAGGTACCAGTAAGCCATGAGCCACGTGGTAACTTATAGATTAATAGAAATGGGTTAATTGAAGATAGAAGAAGTAGATAACAAGAAGCCTGCCATGGCCATACAGTTTATAAGTAATATAAGCGTCTGAGTGATTATTTTATATGTGGGACTGCAGGACTTGATGGGACCTGGAGAGAAGCTCTCCAGCTACACCTTCCCTCAGGACAAGGATACCTACATTGACATCAGGTGACATTACTTGCAATAAACAGTGTGTCCATCTCACAATGACAAACTGTGCATCTTCCTTTCATACAACACATTCCTCCACCACTATCTTGATAATCAGTGAGGTATTTCCTCTCTGGAAACATCCCACCAGGGCCCGGAAGCCTGGCTTCTTATCTGTGTGCAGTCATAATCTGGTGAAAGTACAGCAGACACTACAGGATTGGATCCTTAACCAGGAATGCATGCAGGCTGCAAGGCTGGCTTCCAAGAGAAATGGAAAGGAGGCTTTGCAGATGATCTTGACTTCAGGTCTTCCCAGTCTTCAACCTGGGCACATGAGGTGTGGGTTCTCCTGTTCCCCAGTGCCTGACTGCTAGCTGCTGTCTCCTGAGAGGGAGACTAGGCAGTGTCTGTCTCTTCTTCTCCTTCTTCTCTCTCTCTCTCTCTCTCTCTCTCTCTCTCTCTCTCTCTCTCTCTCTCTCTCTGAAATAGACTGTCATATATCCTAGGCAGAGTTCCCCTATATTCAAGGCTGACTTAGAATTCTAATGCCCCTACCTTAATACCCCCAGGGCTAAAGTTGTATATTTGCACCTACATTTGTATGTACCTTTGTGAATTGAGTAGACAAAACACAAACAGGCCCTGCCTGCCTGGTGTGTATGTCAGATTTCCTCCATTCGGCCTAAAACCTCATGATGTCTTTTGAACACCTGAAAGTACACAGTATTAGAGTCGTCAGGGATGGAAATGGAAAAACTTGCCACAGTTCAAAGCAACACTGAGATACAGGAAATGACCCTAGAATTCTTGCTCCATTTGACTTTCCTATACACTAGACTTTGAGCATGCTCACTGCAGACCTAGACTCTGCTGTGTTGGCTCACAGTCTCATAAGACCCTGAAGAATGATCCATCTCATAACAGTGCTCTGAAAGGGCAGCAAGTTGGTAAGTTGGTCCAGCTTTGCATCATGATGCCTGTTCTTGATGCCTCCTGGTTCTTCCACTTCTCCTCCTTGGTAGGTCAATCTATACTACCGAAGTTCCATCTGCTCATAAGGGCCTGTCTTCTGACTGGCTCTAGAGCTTAGAATCAGGAGAGTGAAATCTCTGCTTGGCTGTTCTGACATTATCCAGAGTTCATTCAGAAATAAATGTTTTCTTCTTTTTTTATGGTGTGTGATGTCATTCCACTGTGTTTGTCAATGCCAGCAAGCCCATGACCAGAGAGTACTTCCTCATGGACCAAGGTCATGCTGCTTGTACATCCCCACAAGAGTCAGCACTGACACCCACAGGATGAGGACTCCTCTACTCCAAGAAATCACAATCAGGCATCTTTTGAGAGTACTGGGCTAGAGAAATCTTAGACACCATGGTTAGTTACAACTCCTTCATGTTCTAGCCCACCCAAACCCTGAGAACTTCCCCTTCCAGGGCATAAGTCCCCTGTCTTGCCTGGCTGGCTACCAAAGATGGCCTGGGCTGTGAAAGGCAGGACATAGGCTCATTCCACTTTCCTAGCCTAAGGAGCATTGTTTTCAGGGTCAAAACAGAACTCAAATCAGAAAAGGAAAAGGAGAAGAGGAGTGGGGGAGAATGAGGAAGAGGAGGCAGAGAAGGAGAGGGAAGAGGAAAGAGAGATGGAAGAAGAGGGAAAGGAAGAAGGGAAAGAGGAGAAGCAGGGGAGGATGTGGGGAGGAGGGGAGGAGGGCAAGAGCAGCAGGAGACAAGAAAAGGCCAGTGAGATGGTACAAAGAACTAGTGACATCACTTAGGATCTTGGTGCAAAGCAGGAGCTCCTCATGAGGCACCAGCTGGACACCGTCTTCCCCTGAGGCTTCCTAAGTACTGGGCAGCCAGCTTTGTTGACTGGTTAGCCTGTCCCAGCCAACAAAGCTCCACATCCAGTAGGTCATTGCACAGCTCAGAGCTGCCTCAAATCCACCTTCCCAGGGACCAGGGAAGCAGTGACAGGAAGAAAAGCCCAGTGTTAGTGCACAGGGAGCTGGGTTCACCTCTAGCTCACAGGCCAGGTGAGAGACAATCACCCACCTCTACCACCTTTGCCACCCACTGTAGGATGGGGGGACCTGATCCCACTTGCCAACCATCCCCACCTGCCAGGCATCCTCTCAGTGACATGGAAAAACCTGGGCATTTTGTCAAGTACGCAACAAGGCAGCCAGGCCTCCGATCATAAAGTAGGTGCCCTGCATCATAAGAGGCAGGTGCTCTCAGCCTGCACTGCCCTTCAGTCTTCCCCACCTCTCCCACTGGACAACTGCTGCAGGGACTGAACACACTCTGACCCTGCTCCTTTGTACTTTAGCTTCCCAGCTCCTCCTCCTTCCATTGCCCTGGCCTAGGAGGCCGCTGAGTTTTCCATCATGTCCATCCCTCTGTCTTCTCCTACAAACCCACCCACAGACACTATTTCAAACCCGTTGGCACTCCTTTCTGAGCCTTCATCCTTTAAGTCCTAGCTTATATGAGCAAATGCCCTTCCTGATGTGCGCAGATGCTGAGGTGAGACCTGATGCAAGTGAAGATTCATTTGGCCACCGCTGTAGCTCCTCCCATCCCTTCCCTCCCCTCCCTTACCCTCTTCCCCTTCCCCTTCCAGCATCCTTCCTGCAGGAGGAAATCCTCTCCACCAATGTGAGTCGATTACTCTCCTTCTTCCTTTTGACTGCTCTTGCCCCCTTTTCCTGGACCCCTCCCCGAGCCTTTTGTAGCTCAGCACCCCATGCATCTTAACCTCTGATCTGGCAGCCTTCCTCACCTCCCATGGTGAAGGAGATGGACTCTGCTTACCCTGCAGAGTGTGTTGTGGTGAAATCACTGCAGGCAGTGCCTTGCAATGCTGCGGCTGCAGCCTGCAGTGGAAGACATACAGACAGAGCTCATCCATGAGATGGGGTCACCACCCACGGTCCTGCCCTTCCCACCACCACCAGGCAACTGAAAGTCAGAACATGACTGAAAGCTACAGCAGCCAAACTCTGTGGTTTCCCCTCCCCCACTGATGGGCAGGGCAGCTGTGAATGTTGTAGTGGGGTGATACAGGCAGGGATCACCCACTGACTTCCTGGGTTTCCCATTTTGCTCTCCACCAAGACACTGTACATGCATTTTCAATTCTAGGTATATAAGTGACTATATAAAATGTTGGGGATTTTTGGATCATATTGTTACCAAACAATGATTGTTATTATAATTTGTATTATTCCATTATTACAAAACCTGTATTTTCTATACTAGTGGTTAATATGTAGTTTGTTTTGCTGAGGTGTTTTATGCTTATGCCAACATTAGTTCATTCATACCTGATTTTGTAGTTTTACTTTTCAATATGTGCTTAATATATATTTACCCTTAAATAAAACTGAAGTGAGTTACCACCCATAGTGCTGAATTCTTAACAGAATATTGAAGATTAAGTCAAATACATAGAGAAGACTTTTTTTACCCTCTTTCTGTTTTAACTATCAGTCTTGGATTAAATGCTCACATGTCTCCTTTACACTCATTAAAATATGAAATAGGAAGGTATATTATGCCAATCTCCAAAACCAAACACAAAAAGTTGTTGAAAATCTAATATCAGTAATAAAAAGTAAGCAAAACAGTAGAAAGCTAATTTAGGAGATAAACAACAACTAGTAATAGTTAGATGTTTGTCCACACTTCTAACCTGAAAGCTACTTCTGTGTCCTGGGTCACACACATAGAAGGAAGCACCTAGCTATGAAAACTAGGAGGGGTTCAACTTTGAACAAGGCTATCCATGGGTGCCATGAAGTATGATGGTCATCTCCCGTGGCTGTTTGTCTTGGGTTACCCATTGGCTTTGAAGCGGTGCTAATTAGGTCATGATGGATGGTATTCACTAAAGTTTGAAATGAGTTTATCCCAGCCCCAGTTTGTCAAAGATTTTTTTTTTCTAGACTGACCTTTATTGATACTTGTGGTTTCTGCCTAAACAGCATGTTTCTGGGCTACGGGGCAGAATGTGGGTAATTTTCTATTTTGATCGACAGGCTTGGGCTATGTAATTCTTTCTCAATAGACATGTAGTATTTTCCCAGGATGCATCTGTTTTTCAACATTTGCATACCCAACTATGCATATAGTTCAGGCTGGATCCATGTACTACCTCTAGTTCTAGGTATGTTCTGGGATGTGTGTTACCACAAAACAGACTGGCTAGGGTCTGTTAAAGTGTTGCTTCCAGTTGCTGGAGTGGTTGGTTACTTTTTTGGAGAGGGATGTATTTATAGCTCAATACAGGTGGTGCTCACTGGTTTGTAAGCTATTCATGAAAACTATATTCCCCATACTCATGTGACCTCAATAAGGTCACATGAGTAGTGGGGAATGTTGAAAACTGGGGCCTCGTGATAATATTTAGGCACTGGGGGAGCTTCCTCACAAAGAGATTCAAGTGACACTTATGTAACCTCAGTTAGTTCTCAAGATTGAATACTTAGAATAGAGCAGTGCCGAATCCCCCCGACCAGGTCCCAGCCTCCTGATTTGCCATCCCTCCATATTGCCTGCATTTCCCCAGGATGCCATCAGGAGGCCCTCACAAAACACAAAACCTGTGTAGCTGCCTGAACTTAGACTTCCTGATTGTGAAGTAATAAATATTATTTATTTATTCATTTATTGTATATACTATCTGGTAGGAGTTGGAATGTTTTCAAAAGCCCACTTATTAAAAGCTAGATTCCAAGCAGTAGTGCTATTGGAAGGTGCTGAAAGCCTTGAGGAGTGCAACCTAGATCTTGCAATCCGGGGCATGTGACCTTAAAGAAAATAAGAGGCTCACAGTGACCTCTTCTTGTTCTCTGTCTTGTATCTTGAGCACAAAGAAAGATTATTTTTGGTTTTCCCCTTAAAATATCTCAAAACATCAGGGCAACCAACTATGAGCTGTAACCCTCAAACTTGAGCCAAAAATTCTTTTCTCTATCAGCTAATTACGTTGATAATTATCATGACAGAAGAGCTAATGATTACAAATATGCACTGTTGGTGTTTTGTTATAGAGTGGGAATAGAGTAATTACACTTTCCACATCAGACTTCAGACAACAAATTGGCAAGTATTGGGAAACAGGTAGAATAGTTAGGAGGACATTAAGGAAACCATATAACAAACTAGAGAGATGGTTCATTGGTTAAGAGTGATGGCTTCTCTTCCAGAGGACCCATGTTCAGTTCCAGTGCCCACACGGTGGTTCACTGCTGTCTAACTGCAGTCCCCAGTATTGAGCGCATTCTTTTGGACCCTGTATATACAGCACACACACAATGCACACACACAGTGCACAGACATTACACGTGAGCCAAACACTAATATATATATATATATATATATATATATATATATATTGCTTTTTTATTTTTAAAAAGAAATATACTTTTTTTCTCTTTATAGTAAAAATTTAAAAACTACAGTAGATGATCTTAGGTTTACCTCATAGTTTCCTAACGTAATTAAGAATAGAACCATACCAGAATAGCTCATTTGATATTGGGAATCAAGGCTGGGGAGATAATAACATGGTGCCTTAGTTTTGTTTCTTGTTGCTGTGCTACAATATCCTGACAAAAGTAACTTAGAGGAAAGGGTTTATTTTTACAAGCTCATAATTTCAACTTATAGTCCACTATAGAATGCAAGTCACAGCTACAGGAGCTAGACAAACAGTTCACATTGCATTAATAGTCAAGAGCAGAGACCAATGCATGGCTGCACTGAGCTTGGTTTTTGTTGTTGTTTTGTTTTGTTTTTGTTTTTCATTCTGAATCTCCTGCTAGGGAATGATACCACCCACAGGAGACAGATCGTTTAATCTCAATTAACATAATCAAGATAACCTCTCACACACATACCCACAGATCAATCTAATCTAGACAATCCATCATAAATAATCCCTTCCCAGATGATTTTAGATTATGTCAGGTTGACAAAACTATCCATCACACTCAGTCAGTAAGTCCCTCTTGTCACCATTCAGTTCCTAGCATCAATGTGGAAAATGCTGGGCAAGGTAATAAGTGTCTGTAATCTTTGCATTGTAGAAGTGGAAACAGGGAAATCCTTGGGAATTACTGGCCTGCTGGTCTAGCTGAATGGGCAAGCTGCAAGTTTACTGAGAATGTATGAGTTTGTACAGGGGAAATGGATGAGAGAGAGTGCAGATATCTTCCTCTTTCATTTTCTATTTCTTTGAGGCAGAGTCTATCTCTGAACTTGAGGCCACAGATCTGTATACTTTCAAGCATGACTAGTATTCATGTTTTGATTTATCAATATTACTTGCAGAATTTCTTATATATGTATTCAAATATTGCGTAATGTCAGGTGTACAAATGCACTTACTGAACTAATTATTTACTGTCTATTTATCTGTCTGTCTGTGTAGGTTTATATACATATATGCATGTAGAAGCCAGATGCCAACCTTGGCTTTTGTTCTTCACATGCTATTCATCTTATATTTTAGAACAGGGTCCTTCACAGATAGGCAGTCCACAAATTAGGCTAAGTTGACTGCCTAGCAAGCACAGGGACACCTCTCCATCTCACTGGCATAAGGATTACAACCCATAACATCACACCCAGATTTTTACCTAGGAACTGAATTTGGGTTCTCATGTTTGTGCAGCAAACATTTTGCTGCATGAGCTATCTTCAGCCCATACTATTTTTAATACTAGTAATTAGTGACAACCTACATGCCCATTAGTTGAAGAGAGATTGAGAGAAATTATGATAAGCTCACATAATTTGATATCATGTATCTTTAAAAGAAATAAAGGTTTTCATTTGCTGACTCTAGGAATTTACTAAGATATGTTCTTATGTGGAAAAATCTCAATGTTTAAACTATTTAAGTATATGCAATATATGTGTGTTGAAAGAGGAGTTACCTTTGCTTGTGTGTAAAATGTAAAATGCAGAGCATTCCTGAAGGCCACAGATTGCCCTCAAAGTAGGGGTTTGGTTTGTTAGAGAGGAAAGATACCTAGAGAGTTATTGTCTAGTCTCTTTTATAAGTATGTGTGTGTGGTTGGTATGGATTGTGCTTGTGCTTGTTTGTGTGAGTAAAAAGACATGCACATGTGTTCAGATGTATATACAGGCCCAAAATTGATGAAGGGACTTTTCCCCCAAACATTCTCCACCTTATTCTTTGAGTCAGGGCTTCTCAAACCCAGAACTTCCCTATATGGCTAATCTCCTTG